CTCACAGGAAACAGATCCGAACCCGCGATCCCGGCTTCCGAGCGAGCGAAGTCAGTGCATGGCTTAGACCGCTCGGCTAGACAGATACATTCTCCGGGAATATGGTGAGAAATATTTTATCTTTTGCGCTTTAATTTGTGAAGCAAGTAACTGTATAAATAACATTTGCATTTGCGACAAATTGAAATCCAAGGTCCTTGAGGTATGTAAATTTATTTATAACGCACTCTGTAAACATGTACACTCTGAATTAATATTTAAAATCCTCCTTCCTATTCTCGGTTAATTCACACCTTATAAGTTGAGCAGATGAATATATCAGAAGTTGCACGAGTCACTGATTCATACTGCAGTGACAAGACTCGTTACAAAATCTTTCTTGTATTACGTATAATCTGTTTTTCTGTTCTTATTGTGAATTAGGGACTGCACCATTAGAAATCAGATTCAGGCAAAAGTGACCTCTTAAATAAATTGGCAAAATATGCGGATTATAATTAATCTCTTATAAGTTGTGCAAAATACATTCACGTGTAAGGGGTTAGCATGACTAATAGTAACGTGTTCTTTGATCAATGTTTGCGTTTATTGTCTGTTCTTTGCAATTACAGTCAATTATAACAGCTCACACACTGAACTCCTTCTGAGCGACATCTGTCTCACGAATCTCAGACTGGTCTCTGCTACTACCGAATTTAGAGTTCAGAGTTCAGTGTCACTTTACGACTGGCGGTTTACCTCCGATCAGTTCGTATTGGCGTGAAACCCCTTGAGGCCCACGACCATAATTTTTATTTTCCAACTGAACATTTGCGGTTATAGTCATTATGTAACATACTGTCTGACGAGAGAATATGTCTGTCATTTACAATTGATGCTGGGCCTCGCCAGCGCAGTCATTCTCAGGTCCGAGTCCCACGGGACTCATTACCATATTTACTCTCTCAGATTCGAGATCTCCCAACCTGGAAATGAAGTTTTGTAAAGAAATCCTAAAAGTAAAATATTTTATGAAGATGTAGACGTGTAAGATAGGATGATATTAAAATGGATCTTAGATTAATGGAATGGTAATGTGTTACCGGATTTATTTAGCTCAGTATAGGGACCAGTAGCGGGTTTTGGTGAACACGGTAATAAACCTTCGGGTTCCACGTAATGCTGGGAATTTCTTGAGTGGCTTAGCAACAGTCAGCTTCCCAGTAATGATTCAGTTCTACAGAGCGAGTGAGTGCGTTAATTATCTAGTTGATTAGTTATTTAATTAATTATTTTGTTCGTTAGTTCTTTTGTTATCTATCTATTTATAACTCTGCAGGCCTTTATTGGACATCGGCTGCTTTTTTCACTTTCTTGACCTTTTACACAGACGGTAGGACTCCTTGGACGGGGGATCAGTCCGTCGCAAGGCCGCTATCTACACACAGATATCCATGCCTTTAGTGGGGTTTGAACCCACGATCCCAGTGTTTGAGTGGGTGAAGACCGTTCATGCATTACATCACGTGGCCTCTGTGATCAGCAAAGCTAGCTAGCCTATATGTAATAGCATTTTCGTGTACTATGTAACGCTGTATCCAGCAGCAATTCACAGAAACATCGGTAAACCCCTTAGCGAGAATTAGACCATTGTCATGGGCATATTAGAGCAGAGCTTTTATACGACAGTAAACAAGAATTTTATCCCCGACTGTTCTTCCGTTGTGAAATCAGGTGTGCTAACTTAAGAAAATTATTTTTATTTATCGCTGGAAAATTAGAAAAATTTTAAGACACCTTGCTCCTACGTCCTGACACTGTAATATATTATTAATAGTGAAATTTTATAAGAAATACATTTGAATGAACACAGTAAATTTAAACATGCAAGTTGGCTGAAGCGATATGACTTGTGACTTCTATTCTGGCGGTACCGGGTTCGAATCTCTGTCGAAACACGGACTATCCTAACTAAAGTATCATGGTGTTTTTCAGTCTCTCAAGGCAAATGCCGGAATATCAGCTCAGAGTAGACCACGACCCCTTCCTTCTACGTCCTTCCAAAATTGTGTTTTAGTAAACGGCCTACTATTCGACGCTATGGACGCCTAGTACGAGATATTAACGGCGACGTCAAATAAGCCTTACGTCATACAGAGGCCATAAGCTAGAGAAATGGGACTCTGTGGGAAATGTTGGTCATTCTTTCTTATGATATTATGACAAATTTTTGAGGAATTTTGCTGTTAATGAACTTCATTAAATTAATAAATAATTAATCTCCAAATAAAATTGACGTCTTGGATTTCAAGTTCTTATAACGATGACTGTAAAATTCACTTCTATAATGTTACACTTAATAATCTTACAGGAATTAGGAGACGTTTCGGAGGAACGTACTGCCTCCATCTTCGGGACTGATAGTAAGTCAAGTAAGCAGTCACCAAGAATCGAGCAGAAAAGTAGCTTTGTCCCTTACTGGTTGCTTGCTTGTCTTAATCTCATACCCTGAATATATAGGCAGGAGGGGCTAGGTGCCTCCGAAACGTTGGTTAACTCCTTCCATGCTATGCAACGTTGCAACTCAGTATACAGAACTCTTCATAGCAGACATATTCAGTTTTTATACTTGTTTCTTCTCACAGATACTGCAGCCAACAAAACAGATACCCCTGTGACACAATATAAATCACTATTCTGAATTTCTGCTCTTTAGCTTGCGAACTTAGCCGCCTCAGGCGAACTGGCGACCGCATAATCATCTTCGTCTGCATTCTTGAGAGGCTGGAGGAGGTTTAAAACAAAGCGGTTCAAGATTTCTTGAATCTGTTGACTACATTTCCGAATACTCACTCCATTACATTTTTTTTTATTGCTAGTGGGGTGGGACTAAGTCCCTTGTACTGCGGCCACTTCTGGCCTATTGTACCAGCCCCAAATGATAGGTGAGGGTGATTGTGGAGCAATTAGTGGAATGAAGATTGGCAGGGGAAACCGAAGTACTAAGAGAAAATCTGCCCCAGCTCCACTTTGTCCAGCACAAATCCCACTTGACCAGACCTCGGGTTCGAACCCGGACCGCCGCGATGGAAAACCAGCAACTAACCGCTTGAGCTATGGCGCGGCCCTAATCCATTACAGTAATATTGCCCGTGCATTGAGGAATCGCGAAACGTGTGTTCCAGTGGAGGAGATATTTACAACTAATTTATCGAACTCATTATCTAATGAGAAAAGACGCTTTTTTCAATCAATATTTCACTTTTCAGTGATTTTTTATGCATATTCCTCCCAAGCATATTAGCCCATTAGAGCCCTGTGGTCACCACACTTGTACTCTTCGCCAAGTATAATTAGAAGTAAAGAAGGATGATGTGGGTAGGGCTTGTAGAACGTATGAGGCGAAAAGAGATGTATATAGGATATTGGTGGGAAAGCCAGAAGGAAAGAGATCACTAGGAAGACAAAGACGTAAGTGGGTGTAATATTAAAAGATCTTAGAAAGATAGGATGGGAAGTATTGACTGGACTGATCTTGTTCAGGGTACAGACCAGTGCAGGACTCTTGTGAACACGGTAATGAAACTTCGGGTTCAATAAAATGGTGGATAGTTCTTGAGTAGCAGCACAACTGGAGGCTTCTCAAGAATGGTTCATCTCCATGAAGTTAGTTACAGCCCAGTGGTAACGATACGTACCGCCTGCTTTAACATACACAAACGCTGCATTCTGCCTACAGAGTGTATAGTTCCCACAATAACAGCGATTTTTTTCCCTAAACAGCATTAACAGGTTGGTTGGGTTTCCTGTGAGGTACGGACTGAATCATTATATATTATGTAAAAGATATTTGTCTGCCTGGGAACCATCAGAACCGGAGGCATATTTTCTTGCCCCCTTTCACTGTCCCCCCACCGTCTTTCTATCCCCCCTTCTCAATCTCTATTTGTCTTTAAAGGGTTAATGACGCATCAGCTACTTGTGTTGTGTAACACTGCATATAACGCATCACCTATGACCTACCCGTTGCATACACGAAGTCTATATTTACCAGTTACAATAGTTAGTTCCTGTAACAGGCCGTAGAGGCCCATAGGTTTGTGAGAGGTCGAGACTCCCACATCTTCTAGAAAATCGGCCCCACAGATAGCGGTAATGTTATCAGCCTTACGCGCCGGCCGCCCTTTATCCCTCAGGAAGATTCTGTTAGAGGCTGAGTCGACCCCAGGGCCATAGCGGCTGGAAGGATTAGGTAAATTGAAATAATCCACCACATCGGTACTCGAACCCGCGACCTTCCGGCTTGTAGCGTAGTGCCTCAACCAACTACGCTACCGAATTAAAATAGTAGTGTAGATAAAATTATATTGTAAGAATATTTAATAGTATGATACATATTTAAACACTTCCATCGTTGAAAAATAATAAAAAAAAAATATTTAATTTTGTAATATCCGAACTTGGCCGTACATATTTATGATATTCTTAAATAATAAACATAAGAAATCACGAAATAACATAATTTTTAAACACTTTAAATTGTTGATTTCAGACACAAATTATATACTTACAAAGAGATTACAGAAGGTTATTATACAAATTGGTTTGGCTGTGTGTGACTAATATATTCTACGCTCATGTACAAAAGACTGTGTTTAATTCTGATGGTGTTATAAATAGAAACATAATCCCAGCCATTCAGAAAATAGAAATGCGTAAAGAATGTTTTTTTGGGGGGGCGGGGGGAGTCTAAACACCCTTCCTTACCAGCAAGTGAAGGATTACAAAGTTTACAAAGAAGAAAACTTAAACAGAAGAAAAATCATTTGTGTATTTTTCTTTGAGGATATCAGCAATAGAAGAGTTAATAATCTTAAATTTAGAGCCGAGGATAATACGTGACACTAGTCTATAGACCTAATAGATATTTATTTGTCATTGGTGAATTCTTTCGATAGTTCACTCGCACAAAGTTTAGACACACTAGCAAACTACATAAATAATAAAATCAATGTACATACCGTTTTCTTCTTCAAGTTTGTATACTGATGGATAAAACAACTCTGAGTCATTATTTATGTCTTGTTGCTGTAAATTAACGGAACACGTGATGTCACACGAGAATTCTCAGCGATTTTTGTTAACAAGACGTTGCTCCCTGCTTCGGCATCAGGGAACTGCCACGAATTGAGCTGACAACTTGGCAAGCTGCGGAGTCAAGCGGGTTGCGTCCAGGGTGCGCCTGCGTTCACGTACAAATATAAACGTTGGCATGAAGCCCCACATTATTAATGCCACTACCAGTAAACTCCAGTTTCGCTGTTTAACTACGTGATGTTGCGGTTCTCTACAGGCGTTCAGGAAATACGTTGTTCGAGAAAGAAATCCTCACCAGCTTTCGCAGTGTCAGCAAATTGGTAATTGTGTAGCAATCTAAAATGAAAAGGTAAAACTAACCTAGTAACAGATCATGGAGGTCCATAGGGTTGTGAGACGTCGAGGCTCCAACATTTTCTAGATAATCGGCTCACAGATGACGGCAAGGTTGTCAGCCTTACGCGCCGGCCGCCTTTTACCTCCAAGAATATTCTTGGTACCCATTTCTGTTAGAGGCTGAGTCGACCCCAGGCTGGAAGGATTAGGTCAGTTGAAAAAAATCCAATGACCTCATCGGTATTTCAACCAGCGACCTTTTCCGGCTTGTAGCATAGTGCCTCAACCAACTACGCTGCCGTGTGCCCCCTTGGCAAGTCTGTAGCATTCTAAAATGAAAAGGTAAAACTATCCTAGTAACAGACCATGGAGGTCCATAGGGCTGTGAGACATCGAGGCTCCCACAGATCCACAGATAGCGGCGAGGTTATCAGTCTAATGCGCCGGCCGCCTTTTTTTTTTCCTTGGCACTACAGCCCCAGTGGGCCTAGGCCTACCTCCATGAACTCCGTTCACTTCGGTTTTTCTAGATCTTACACATACGTTAGGACTCCTTGGGCGAGTGATCAGCTCGTCGCAAGTCCTCTACCTGTAGACAAACACAGAAAAACGCACACAAACGTCCATGCCCTGAGTGGGATTCGAACCCACGATCCCGGCTTCCGAGCGAGCGAAGACAGTACATGCCTTAGACCGCTCGTCTACCGTGACGGGTCCGGCCGCCCTTTACTCCAAGGAAAACTCCTGGTACTCATTTCTGTTAGAGGCTGAGTCGACCCCAAAACCACAGTGTGGCTGGAAGGATTAGGTCAATTGAAAAATGCAAGAGGTGGTAGCTCGGTCGGTATAGTTCGCTTGCGGACTACAGGCCACGGAATGTTTTGTTTGTAACAATCTCATTTATGTATTTATATCAAAAAGTTAGCGGCCTCCGTAGTCTAGGGGTAACGTTCCCACCTCATGACTCAAGGTACGCGGGTTCAAACCCGGCGGATGTCGTGGAATTTTTAAGG